CCCTTCCGGTTCATTTTTGGATCCATGACCCGGATCCAAAATGCCTCTAGGGTCTTAATCGCGGCTGTTTGTGCCTCATGCGCCAAGACCTCGACCGTGACCCCGAAATCGTCTCCATTATGAGTTTGTGTCCTGTGGCAACCCAAGGCAGTTGAGGGGAGTGACCTAACCTTACCGTTTAAATGTTCTTTGATTCGTACATGGAGTGGTCCAGCAGTCTCACCTATGTACGTATCTCGACAGTTTTGCCAAGTGATATTGTAGACCACACCAGATGCGCTACAGTCACCTACTCTGCCATTAGGGCAGACCACACAATCGGGTGTTGCACATTTGCGATCGTACATGCGGTTACGGACTGAACGGCGCTTTAGATTGTCAGGAGGGATTTCGACGATACCAACAATGTTTTGAAGACCCGCTCTCCTCAGACGCTTCCTTATGGAAGTGCTCACTTCATTGGAGATGAAAGGCACAGCAAATGGGATTCTCGTACTAAATAAATTACCATTTGTCCTGCTTGACTCTTAACCTGCTCTGGCCTTCCGAAATGGAGGAAGTTTGTAGCCATTGAGCTCAGCAATATTTCGAGCTATGTTCACGGATTCTTTTCGTTCCTTATCTCCAGAGCTAACTTCTGCAGCAGTTCGGAACATACTCCTTACTACTGCTCGTTTCGCTTGGAGAGGGTGTGCAGAATTCCAATGAACAAAGATGTGTTTATTGCTGGGCTTTCTATACCACTTCGTGGAATACTCACCCTTAGCAATTCTTGCTTGGACATTTAGGAAAGGCAGCCACTCTTCGTGAGGCTTTTCTCGAGTAACTTTTATCCGCTCATATAGTGCATTCAATAGGTCAAAACAGAGGTCCACCTCGTCCTGCGTAGAACAAACTATAAGGCAATCGTCGATGTACCGACAATATAGCAAAGGGAGACGTTCAAGCACGTGCACTTCTATTTTGGCCATGAACGCAATAGCCAAAGTAGGAGCCAGTCGTTGCCCTATGGCAAGGCCTCTAGTTTGCGCATAGTACTTCCCCGACGACCTGAAGATGTTACAGTTCAGGCACTCATTTAGAAGAACCATTATTTGACCTATTGAAAGACCGTGCATGTTGACTGTGCTTTCGTGCTGGGAAAGCAATTCTAGCACAGCTTCCATAGCGGCATCGTTACTCACATTGGTATACAGGGATTCCACATCGAAGGATTCCATGGCACATGTTTCGCTTAATCGCACTCTACGA